AGGGATAGGGGAATCAACCACCTCCCCGGGCTACCTGTGCCAGTGTTTCACCATCTTAATTGTAAATAATTTCTTCCTTATATCTAGTCTAAATCTACCCTCTTTTGGGTAAAAACCATTACCCCTTATCCTATTGCAACAGGTCCTACTGAAAAGTTTGTCCCCATCTTTCTTCTAGGATTTTAGGCTTTCTACCCTCTAAGTACTGGAAGGCTGCAATAAAGTCTCCCTGGAGCCTTCTCTTCTCCAAGCTGAGCAACCCCAACTCTCTCAGCCTGTCCTCACAGGAGAAGTGTTTCATCCCTCTGATCATTTTCGTGGCCCTTTTCCGGACTGTCTTTCCTGTGCTGAGGACCCCAGAGTTGAATGCAGTACTCCAGTGGGGTCTCAGAAGAGTAGAGTAGAGCAGAGGGGCAGAATCACCTCCCTTTTCCACTTATGTACCACTCTTCACGTTCATTTGTACCAGGGGAGTTTTGGACATATACCATTTTTGACTAACAAATGTTTAGGTCATCTAAGTCATTCTGGAGGAAAGCATCTCAGAACAGTTTTGTGTTTTTCAGGGCAACGGTTCATTAGTGAAAGGAGAACCAAACTGAAGTGGAGAAGGAAATAATTTTCCTGGCAGGATGTTTTACTTTAGAAAACAGGTGACCTGATGCCATTTGCTAAAACAAATGAAAGCGTAAGAACACTAAATTCAGCAATGCCAAAACTGTGTTTAAAAAAGTAACTATGCAAATGCAAAATAAAACATTCCCAGCTGGCCTGAGGTCACTGAGTTTTTCTGCTAGTCTTAAAATGTAAGAAAACAGCAGACTTGAATGTTCTTGAAAGATGTGCTTGAATCTGAGTTGCTGAGTGCACAAAGAGGATTCTCAAAACTCAAAAAGGTGGAGTACAAACTATCCTTCCCTTCTCACTTGACCATATTTCTCAAAGTCTCAAAGCATAGAAAACAGCAATTTTAAGGCCTGGATAATTCCAAAGCAGTTTAGCAGATTTACTCCAACCTTTCCAGAAATTCTTATACTCTGGTCTGAGACCAACAGTGAGAAATCTCAGCCCAAAAGGCAGTTTTTTGGAAAAAAAATATTACCTGCTAAAAGGGAAGGTTTAGAATGAAAGTGCTTTTCAGCCATAACTATTCCACATCAATCTTTAACACTTTAACTAATGCATTATTAAACTTCAGTTTATTGTATGAATTGTGTATATATAACATATAAATGCATACATTAGTGTATATGTAATGCAGTAGCCAAATATTATGGAAAAAAGTAAGCTTTCTGAATACAATAAGTGTAAGCAAAATATATGCAGAAACAGAAGAGATATTATACAACTATTAACAAGAATCCATCTTTACAAATGAAAGGCTCTGACATTTGTCCGGATCAAAAATCCAATTTTACAGCACTGGGAGATAAGGAATTAAATAGAGCGCAGATATTATCTAAACTGGTATTAAAAGGTTAGCAGTGCTTAAAATTGATTAGTTACCAAGACCAGACAGCCTACATCCCAGGCTGTGAGAAGAGTATTGGCCAGATGTTGCAGACACTTTAGTTATCATTTTAACAAACTCTCAGGCTAGGCAAGAGCTTCACAGATTGCAAAGTGGGGATCACAACTCTGTTACAAGGCAGGCATCTCAGCATGTTACACAGCAGCAAAGTCAACAACAGTCAGGAAAAAAACCCCATCAAAAACCTCTAAAAAGACTTAGTAGATCATATGGTCTCCATACCTAAGGGAACAAAAACACCCTGCAATTTAGGAATTAGGAACCAGTTTGTTTGGTGAAGGAAAGGCCATGAATGGATAAGTCCTTTGGAAACCAAAAATCTAAGAACGAAGAGATATGTCAGGATACAGATGAGTACCATACACCAAATTCCAGGCAGGTTATATAAAGATATCCAGGAAAGATCACATTCTCTCCAAGATTAGTGTAAACCACTTACTGCTTTCCTAGCTGTCATCAATGGAGGAAAAAAAGACTGTATTTTTAAAGACAGACAAAAAATTAGCTCTGGAACATGGGTGTGTCATTTTCATCTCTGAGAAATGTCACAGATGACAGCAGCAAAAGCAATATATGACTTCTGACAAAGACAAGTTCATCACTAGGATTAATAGCAAAAAAAAAAGAAAAAGAAAAAAGTCAAAAAGGGCTAAGGACTAGTAAGATTTTGGTCAAACACAGTGATGCAAACACTCACTGAATGCATGCAGTAAGTATATTATAGTAAATAAGTCTGTAAGTCTTTTCATGGTAAATTGTGGGTTTGCCGTTATGGATTTGCCATGAAGAACATGTGTCACAATCTTACAAATCATAAGGAAATACAATGAAATGTCGAAGCATATATTTACCTTGAAAATAAAAGAGAGTCTCAAACAAAGGAAAGAAAAAGGAAATAAGCTATTTTGCACCCATAGAGAAATCAGGCAGCACTTCAGTAATTAATATTTATTACTTATGGCACCTTTCATACATTGAAAATGCTGAACAAATACCAACTGACCTGTACAACACTCCTACAATACGTGATATACATAATTATGGAAATTACAGTAGGGAGCTGGCAATGAAATAAAGTCCTGGAGATCCTCCCTTGTGGGGAAGAGCATTGCACACAAGATGAGGCTGCCATGTAGGGATTGAATGGCACATCTGAGGACATAATTTACACCAAAACTGAAAAGGCAGAGGAAGAGGTGAAGACAAAAAGGTGGGCAAACCTCCATGGGATATGCAACCAAGATGCTTATAAATTAAAGCAGCAGAAGCTGATTTTGACATGTGGTTATTTTCGGGTTTAGAGGTAATTACATTCAAGTTGAGAGCAGCACCTGCAGGAAAAGACCCACTGGAAAAAGCTGTTTCCTTACCAGCATGTAGAATCAGAAAATGTCCTGAGCTGGATGGTACCCAAGGTGACCATTGAGTCCAACTCCTGATTCCACACAGGACAAGCTAAACCATATATCAAAGAGTGTTGTCCAAACGCTTCTTGAACACCAAAAGGCTTTGGGCTGTGACCACGTCCCTGAGGAGCTTGCTGCAGTGCTTGACCACCCTCACCGTGAAGAACTTTTTCCTAATAACCAGTCTGAACATCCCCTGATGCAGCTTTAAGCCATTTCCTTGTGTCCTATCACTGGACATCAGAGACAAGAGATCAGCACCGTTCTCTCCGCTCCCCCTCATGAGGAAGTTGTAGACAGAGATGAGGTCTCCCCTCAGCCTCCTCTTCTTTAATCTGAACAAACTTAGTATCCGCAGCTGCTCCTCTTAAGTCTTGCCCTCTAGTCCTTTCACCATATTTGTTGCCTTCCCTTGGGCACACTCCAGTATTTTTATATCCTTCCTACCACACACAGCACTCAAGGTGAGGCTGCACCAATGCTGAGTAAAGTGGAACATTAACTTATTTTGACCAGTTAGCTACACTGTGCTTAAGGTTTGTCCTTTTGGCCACATTGTTGACTCATATTGAGCTTCCCTTCAACCAAAAAAAACCACCCCAGATTCCTTTCTGCAGGGTTGCACCCCAATCCACATGTACATCCAGGATTATACTGTCCCAGGTGCAGAATCTGGCATTTGTTCTGGTTAAACATCATATGGTTGGTGATTGCCCAGTGCTCCGTTCTATCCAGATCTCAGTGTTAGGCCTCTCTACCCTCAAGGGAATCAATAGCTCCTCCTAATTTAGTATCATCAGCAAACTTAGTGTGGACTCAACTCCTGCATCCAGGTCATTGATAAAAACATTGAAGAGAACTGGTTCCTGAGAAGTGGATGGCTTTGCTTGTTTCTTTCAATCAGGAGAGTAGGGTTAAAGCTAGAGACCAAGAAGAGTTCATGGCCTCCACTCTCTGGAGCTAAACTTTCTGGTTGAGAGTGATTCATTATAAATCAGCTTTCTCGCAGCTTAGTTTACCCCCCTGTAAAACAAATAATTCAAAGCCAGACCATCAGCTGTGAATTGGCACAGTTCCACTCGGTTCCCAGTGTCAGAAGAGAACATATTTGGCCAAAATTAAGTGTCACACATCCCTGGTGAGGCAGACAGAGTGATTTACATCGTGACCTGGCTCACTGCATCCACGTCTACACGGACAGGCGCAGATGTGACAGGATGCTGCTCTGATCCAGATGTTGCACAGTTCTTCCTAAGCTGAACTGGCAATGCAGTTTCCAGAGGGATCTGTCATATGCCTGGCATATGCCTTGCGTCTATAGGGCACCCATCCACATAAAAATAATTTTTCTCTACCTCACAGGAGCAATGAAGTTTTATTACTCCCAACTAATTGGGCCTCTACTGTGACAATGAAGTCTGATATGTCCAGGCTTGTCTGCGAAACATTGCTGGTTTCAAAATATTATTCTTACTGTTGTTAGAGTAAGCAATCCCCTGCAATGCTCTCCCAAACTATATTTGGGAAGCAAAATGACAAAATCAAACAAGAACAACTTCTTGAAATTCGATTTATGGAGTCAGGTGTAAAGTAAATAAGCACACATCTGACAGGAAAGCTTCACTTCAATATCAACTGAGCATACGAATTGAATGGGCTTCATGATTTTCTGCCCAATTAACATAACTTCAAAATCTTTCTCCAGTCAAGAGTTCCCAGCCCAGGGCATTCTTTGGCAGAACCTCAAGACATCCTGCTTGAACAGAGAAACAGAAACAAACGTTTCTCTTATGGGACCTGCCTCCTGATCTTGACCCAGCGTAGGATCGATGTTTTAGTTGTTTAATTCCCCCAAAGAGTTTTGGCCTTTCTACAAGGTTAAAATATGATATGGATTATATACCTACTGCAAGAAGAGACTAATACACAGTATGCAATATTAATCACAGGCGATGTTTTCAGAATATAAAAATATAACATCCTCAGAAATCATTCAATGTATTTTCAAGAAGACCCAAAGAATTCACAGATGCTACAAGAGATCTCTTTGAAAAAAATCTTACCTGCTACAAGCTGTTGTCCAGCTAGTCCTACTGGAACCATCCCCAGGTTATTCATAGCTGTAGCCCAAGCCGTCGGATCAGTGACTGACATGTTAAGTTGTGTGGTATCTATAGCTATACTTCCCAAACCATCAGCTGCTGCAAGAAAAGAAACATACTGTAAGTAGAAAAGTCAACATGCCAGGATTTTTAACCAAAACCTTCAGTGAAAATGAGATATCACAACCACTGTTTATTTTGGGTTTGTTTTGTTTCTTAATTATGATTGACTTTTCAGGCCATTGATAATAGTGCTTGGTATTATATAGCAAAACAGAAAGACATTGGAAACATTCAATAGACAGAAAGTGAAACAAGAGTGATTCAGGCTGGTTGCATGGAAGATTTTTTCAACATGAGGACAGTCAAGCAGTGGAACAGGCTGTACAGTTGCCACCCTTGGCAGCTTTCAAGACTCAACTTGGTAAAACCCTGAGTAACTGGTCTGACCCCATGGCTGGCCTTGATTTGAGCAGGAGGTTGGATTGGAGACCTTCTGAGGCCCTTCCCAACCGGTAAGAATTCCCCTTCTGTCGTGGATTAAGCACAGACTGCTTAA